ATTTTTTGTTTTAACGCGGTTGCGGACTTTTTCAGCAAAGAGATAGAGAAGGCCGAAAATAAACTTTTCTTTCCAGTGATCGGAACTACTATCTTCACGAATAAGAAGGCAGAAAAAAAAAACATCTTTATACCATTTATAGTGAGAAAGGGTTGGATATTTAAGATTAGAAAAGAGGTCTTCAGATCTTGCTTCTAGTAGGGCAGTACTTCCAACAAAGTGAACGATTATTGTGTATATGAGGGTATTGACAGCATCGCTTTCGGCCTGAACGACGTCTTGATTTAATTCTTTTTTAATATATGATTGTTTAGTGGCTGTTAATATTTGTTGTTTCGATATATCATTAAGGTGGAAATCCCACCATCCTTTGAGCCATCCAGTAAAACCACAGATAATAGCTTTCGCTACATCTTGGTCATGGGCTCTAGAGACCTTGCATGCAGTGGCATACATGGTCATGTGTTTCATTGTATCAAGAATCTGATGATCGGACATTCCGTCTATATTCCAATTAACAATAGTTTGTCCTGAATATGATACAGTATGGGCTATAAGGTCTTCTTCAAATTATATATCAACTGGAGTAGATCTAGTATGGTACATTCTAGATTGAGATACAGGTCTCCATTTTTTACCATAATATATTCTATTGATATTATTTTCTTGGAATGATTGAGTAAAAGTATCTTTGATATCAGTAATGGTATTCGGAATTTATGTAACATCATAGTTGTTGGTTCTGTTATCTTTATTACTGATTCTTGACTTTTAGCTTTAACTTTTTCTTTGATATCTAAATTTGCTAATTTGGTAATTAATTGTTGCATTAATTCAGAAGAAAGTTCTTTTTTCATCTGAAATCTTTCTTTATTAATTAGAGGAGGAGGTTTAATTAATATTGCCTTTTTCTTTTCTTCAATTTTTTCTTGTGGTTGTTTGATAATATTTTATATTCTGTTTGTCTGTTTTCCTATGGTTTGTAAATATAAATTCGTATAATTATTTTGTTCTAATATATGAGGTAATAGTTTTATTTTATGATAGTGTTCTCCGGGAAGTGTTTTTTATGGAGTAGCTATAGTTTCTAATTATTCTTGCTTATCTTTTTTGAGGATTTTTATACTTTCTTCAGGAAGATGAATACTTCGAATATGTTTTTGTTGTTCTGTAGTATATGTTTGATATTGATTTTCAAGGGTATGGAGTTTATTGAATTCAGAGATTTTTCCTCATTTTAAAAGTAATGTAGTTTTGAGCCATTCAAAAAATCCTAAGTTTATTTTTTCTTTTTTCAAAAATCTATTATATCTTTTATGAGTCATTTGTAGTAATTCTTTTGAGAACGTAAATGGGTATCAATTTCGAAAATCTTTATTGTTTTCACTTAAATAATCATTTTCTATATACTCTTTATTTATTTTATTCTCTTTTTGTAGCGTTAATAATTGAAAGTCTTGATCTGGAGTATCTGTGTATATTGGTTGATATATAGGTTTATGTATATTATCTTGAGTTCTAACTAACCCTTGTATTTCAGTTTTTAAAGATGACGCAGTTTCAGATCTGAATATACTGGATACAGATCTTCGAGAAGATAAGAAATTTGATGAATTTTTTGATAAGGAAGATAATTATCGTCTTCTATTTTTAAAGAAGGAGATCTTTTATTAAATAGTATTTCTACTTCTCCATCTATATTTTCTATTATTTGGTTCGGAATATTATTCTGAGGAGTTTTAATTGCTGGATTTGAAGTCTGAATTTTCCATTCTTGGGGGAGTTGTATTTGTGACCATTGGATTGTTTTAGGAATAATAACATTTGATCTTTCAGTATTTGTTTGAAATACAGTAGTTTGTCCATTTGTATCTATTTGTATAACATTTTGACATAAAGTGGTCATTACCTTATAATATATTCGATAGATGATAACTATATTTTGAGATCCTTGTAACATATCAAATCCTTGTGTTTTAATATTTAAAGTTAGTTCTTTTAGTAAATTAGGATC